AAATTTTATGTTAAAAAATAAAAAACATAATTTATTAGTTTTATTCTCTGAGTATTCTTTCACTTACCTATACTCCACTTCTATCATTAATTTTTTTTAAAAAAAAAAAACCTTATCTCTTAACTTCCCCTCTTACATTCTATTATTTTATTTTTCTCTATAATATATTCCCCTCTTTTCCCTCTCCATGTTAATAATTTTTTGTTATTATTCTTTTATCTCCCTGAGCTTTCTTTCTATAGTATTCTTTTTTAATCATTCATTTTATCTCTATCATTATATATATATATATATATATCCCAATTTCCCTTTCTCTCTCTCTTTTATTGTCAATATTCGGAGGGTTTTTTTGCCAAAATATAAATGACACAATTTCTTATCATTATTCTCAAGTTTTTTTTCCACTTATCTTTACTCCACTTTTTTTATTATTAATTGTTTCTTGTGATTCAATCTCTCAACTTCTCACTAAACATTTTATGTTTATATTTATCTCTACTCTACATTTGCCCTCTTTTTGCCTCTATGTTAGTAGTTATTTTCCTTATAGTACTTGATAGGTTGAATTTATGCACATAACATAATGCTAATTTAGCTTTAATTATTAATTTGGATGGATTTAGTATGATTTATACTAGATTTTACATTATTTTCTTGTGTAGGATAGGACTTAACCTTTAAAAATCAAAATATAGAACTAAATCACAATGTTTCACAAAGTAACATAATGAATAAACAGCTGAAGTTAAGGACCAAATTGTAGAATTCTAAAATTTAAAGACTAAAGTTTAAAAGTTTTTTAAAATAGAGGACTAACACTATGGTTCACCATTAAGAAAAGAAACATTTTGAATCATGTGTCGGCAGCTCCTCGCTCTCCCTCCCCTCCGCAAGAAAAGATGAAGTAATGACTTTATCTACCAACAGTAAGCTTGATTGTAACTTTAACCCATTATCATTTATTTTCCTAAGGTCATTAAAATCCTTAAATTTTTATTTTAATGTAACAATTAAAAGTAGTTGATAATTAATAAAATAATTAATAGTTATTATTTAATAAATTAAAATTAATTTATAAATAAATATTTTTCAAGATTATATTAACTGTTTAAAAAATTTTTATATCAATTAAAAAATTACAATTAATATAAATGACATTAATAAAATTATTAATAACCATATTCTTAGCTGAACACCCTATGAAATAGACAAAACAAATATAAGAAATTATTAAGAATTGTGACAAATAAACAACATTAAAAAAAAATTAATTTCGACCTCAAAATCTATAAAGATAAGAGAATTTAGTGGAAGGATTCAATTTAGTTTTTTTGAGCCGCTAAAGTTTTCGCATTTGAGAAGGGAAGAGTTTGTGGGAGAGAAGCGAGGAGAAATAAACCCTGAGAAAAGACTTGGAGAATGTGCCTTAAAAATTAATTAAAGCTTGAAGCCTTTGGAAGAGAATATGTCCCTCAAAATTAATTCAGTATCAAACAAGCCCCTCCCTTCTACTGCACATTCATTGATCAAAATTACATACCCTAACCAGAGAATAGAGGAAAATTCACTTCTGCTTTTGCTTTATGGTATATGAAACAATGATGTAGTAAAAGGGACTGAAATGGCATGAAATTTACTCTAAGGGATGTGTTTGGGATGAAAATTAATGGAGGCTTAATTTAGAAGATTGTTAATATTATATCGACATATATATTAATTTTATTGCTAATATAATATGTACCATATTTTAAATTATATTATGTATTATTTTAGATTTATTGTTGTAAATATATAATTTTACATAAATTAATTATAAACTTATAGAATAACTCTTGTTAAACATAAAAAAATAAAATTAATGTCTTAAAATATAAATTTGTAGACCAAAAAAATAATAATATTAATATATAGAAAACATAATTCACAGTTAGTATTTAAACTTAAAATTTATAACTTGCATGGGTCATTAAGCAATTTTTCAGAAAATGGAAGGATACTCTTCTCTTTTATCCTTAACGTGGTTCATCACTTCATCGTCATCCTGTATCTTAATAAAAGATCTCATCTAAGTCTCACTCTCACCAACCACGTGTCCATGCCCATGCCATGTCTCAAACTCTCAATATATCATTCAAAACTAAATCAGAAAATGGCATGCCTTCTCTCACATCGTCATCCCTTTCCCCCAAACACTCAGTCACCCAACTCAGAGATTGAAAGTCTGAAACAAGATGTTACAGTCTGCTTCAACTTTATTTTTCCTTTTTCTGCAAAAATCAATTGAACCATAGATTACAGTGTTTCTCAACTTTCTTCTCCTCTCTCTATCTCTGCAAATTCAATTAAACCTGTGCCAGCCAGAAATTACCTGCAAGCCTCCAATTTTTTCACCTTCTTCATCCCCTCCACATAACCCCTGATTGTTTAGCATCACCCTCACAGTCATAGACTAACACCCTCCTTCCTTTTCCCCACCCCTTTTTATCTCTCTGTGTGTGAAAAGAGTTTACAAATTTGCACTGGCCGAAATTAACATACTACCCAGCACACGTTATTCTGGTCGGTATGCAACTTTTCAACCCGTACCGCTGAGAAATGAACTGGTACGATATAATGTCCTATAGTATACCGGTTTAATGACAAATCCAGTATGTACTGGCTGTACCAGCTGGTACAGTATGAGATTCACAACTTGTTTAGAAGATTAACAGCTTAATTGAGGGGCAAATATTAGGATTATTCCTATGAAGCAAACCGTGTTTTTTATGCTCTTTGGCTGCATATAATGATCTGAACATCTTTACCAACACCTTAAATCGGTTTAATGGGCTTCAAATCCTCTTCATTCTTTTATCCATCACTTTACTGTATAGTGATATATATCACTTCATGCTATCGTGTGCTGAATGTTTCTTTCAGTTTGTACACCGTGGCAGGTGCGCTCTACGACTTTGTAC